TACAAGGATACAAATAGGATTTTTTTGTATGAATTTACATAGTAGGCAATAGGTTTATTAAATCATTATCCAGGAGCTGCCACTAGAGGAAAAATAAAATGGTTTAATGCTATGAATGGCAGAACTATAAATAGCTTCCTAGGCACAGCATGGCCAGAGAGTCTCTCACATATTACGGCCCTCACGTGGAAGGGAGGCAAAACTAGGTGCATCACAGTCTGACTATGACAAGTTCTACAGACCAGAGTTCTCAGAACTTGAAGAGCAGGTTTGTCCTATTTCTGATGTCACCATGCATAAAATAGGGAGTAGGGAACCTCTTGACTTTGCCCTATACAAAGAATACATTTGAGAGCTGTCCATTTCAGTCCAAGGTTACAGAGTTCCAATAGGACTAAAGTCAAAACAAACATGTCCTTGCAAATCCTGATTGATTTTAGAGAACAATTTTCCCACTAGACATGAAAACTGTAGTTGCCAGCAAAGAAAACAGAGATCACATTGTGGCTCCTTCTCAGTCTGGGAAATGCAGTAATGACAGAATTCAGACCAGTCCCGACATCTCAAAGAGCAAAGGCATAAAAGGTCTTCAAGTCATAACTGTGAGCCTGTTGACGATTCCATTACCTTTCATTGCAGACTCCAACCTGTGTTTTCATGTGAGCATGTATACAGAGTTATTAATCAAAGGAGTTCAACGATTGGAGATGATTCTGAAATTCTTTTGATATTGCCATGGATTCACCTCTTGATTTTTAAAAAATGGAATCCTGAGTGCAATCCTACTCAATTCTTTGAACTGACCGACTGTAGCAGTAACAAAAATAGTAAAAGAGTAGTCACAGAAGTAAATTTGTGTTACAAACTCCACTAAGAGTTTTCCTGAAGAGCACCCATGAAGTCCTAATATTATCTATTTTCTTGGATGAGGAAATTGAGACTTAAATCATTTGTGACCCAATAATGATATGAGTGGGTCAGTAAATTTGAGAATTCCATTATTTTCTCATTTAATCACAAACATTATAGTAAATGAATCTTGAAATCATATTTTCATGAGTGTGTGTTTCTGTGTGATATTGCTTTTCAAGTTGTAGGCTCCCCTTTTATAAAATAATAGAACAAAGATGTAATAGATACTGACATGTCTAGCACTGCTCCATCCTCTCTCCTCTTCCGTGGGAGGGCCCCAGTGCAGAACTCCAAATTCCTATTATTGTTGGTGTTCAGCAAAAGTTGATCTGAGGATTGCTTGGCCTTTGTTGAGGACCTATTATCAATTTTGGAGTGTCTGGAGTGTCACCAGGGCCAAGTCACCAAAGAACAGCATTGACTTGCTGAAGATGTTGTTGACTGTTTACAGATGGTTGAAATATCTGTGAATTAAGATACATCCGAGGTGCAGCTGATGATGGTTGCATTACCACATGAGTGCACTTAGCACTCATGAACGTGGTTCAAACAGCAAATTTTCTCCCATGTGTACATTACCACAGTGATAAAAACGACTTTTAACATGAGACTTTCTAACTTGTTAGAAAAACAACATGATTTGATAAATGGGTGTAATATAGACTTGGCCTTCTAATGTTGGTATTTAAATCTTTGATGATAACTGTTATCTAGAGGAGTACTTCTTAATTTCTTCTCTGTAACATATTTTTATTTTAGGCACATGTAGGTAGCTGGAGGGGACTGATTGTTGATAAAGTCTGCGTGGTGTTCCAGCTCTCCTGCCCACCAGCTAACACAGCGAGTCCTCACTATCTTTGCCCTGCAATCACCTGTAACGCACGGATCACCAGGGAAACTGCCACCTGCAGGCGCAGTTCACATGATGGTTACCTCAGACAGTGGCATCATTCCAACGCTGACAAAGCAGGTTGGTATCACTTGTAACTAAAGCAACCTAGTATCTGCGCAGGTTGTTGTTGTTTTGGAACCTGCTAATAGTATCTGCCCAATCTTGCACATCACAAGCACTCAACGCTGAATATCAGTAGTTAGCTGCCAATCCTCAGCTACGAGACTGGATTGAAACTGAGAAGTATTAATTGTGCATGAAAGAAAGCTAAGCAGAACTGTTTTATCCTACTGAACTACAACTTAGAACCTATTAACTAATCTTTTCCCCTTTTTTTTATCCCTTCCTTCCAATTCCCCCAAACTCCAGTAACAACCATTTTACTCTGTTCCTATGAGATCAATACTTCAAGATTTCATATATTAATAACATCGTGTAGTACCTGTCTTTCTGTTCCTGACTTATTTCACCTAAAATTCTGGTATCCAATTTTATTCAGCAGATAGAATCTTCCTGTTTAAATGCCTGGATAACATTCCATTGGCTATATGAACTTTTTATTTATTTAATAAGTTGATGGACATTGAGATTGATGTTTTCTCTTTGTTTTTGGAAATAATGCAATAGTAAATTAGAGTGTAGTTGTCTGATAGACAGGGTATTCACTTTTTCTATGGATATATATCTTGTCATGTATTTGGTGGGTCCTATGATCATTGTACATTTATTCTATTCAGGAACCTCCATATTGTTTTTCAGATGACTTTACTAATTTACATTCCCACTGATATTGTATACATTTCCCCTTCTCTCCATATCATCACAAATATTTGTCGTCTTTTAGCTCTTTGATAATTTTCTAACCAGAGTGAGGTGATATCCCATTGTGGTTTTAATTTGTATTTCTCTGTGATTGGTGATTGGTGATATTGAGCACTTTTTCTCATGAACCTTATGGCTATTTGAAAATGTCTGTTTAGATCTATTGTCCATTTTAAAATCAGATTATTACTTGTTATTTGGTTGAGTTCCTTATATGGTGTGATTACTAACCCTCTGTCGGATGTTCCTTCACTTTACTGTTACCTTTGTTGTATAAAAGCTTTTAGCTTGATAAAATCTCACTTGTCCATTTTTGTTTTTGTCTCCTGTGCATATCTGAACATTCGTGTCCACATCAGTGTCCTGAAGCATTTTCTCAGTGTTTTCTTCTTAAAGTTTTACATTTAGATCTTTGCTCCGTTTGGGTTTAACCTTGGTATATGAAGGAGAGGGTCTAGTTTCTGCCTTCTTCCCTCTGCCTTCCGTCCTGCCTTCCTTCCTTTTTTTGCCTTTGTTCATATAATTTATCCAGGGCCATTTACTCAAGACTTTTTTGTGTGTATTTCTTGTTCTTAGCATTAAAAACATGCACTTGGTTTATTTGTAAGTTTCTACTCTGTTTCATTGGATCATGTGTCTGTTTTCATGTCAAAACTACGCTGTTTTAGTTTTGTTAGGTTTGTAGTACATTTTGAAGTTAGGTATTGCAATCGTTCCTGCTTTGTTCTTTCTGCTCAAGACTGCTTTACTATTCAACACTTTTTATGGCTTACAAAATTCTAGGATTTTTTCATAGCTTTGTGAAAATTATCATTAGTATTTTGATGGGATTTTATTGAATCTGTAGATGACTTTCAGCACTATGGACATCTTAATAATATTGATTTTTCCAATTTTTAAAGATTTGTTTTATTATGTATTTAAAAGGCAGTGACAGACAGGAAAACAATTTTTCATCTGTTGGTTTACCCCCAAATGTTGCCAACAGCAAGGCCAAAGTCAGGAATCCAGATCTCCCACAGGTTGCAGGAACCCAAATACCTGGTCCATTTTCTGCTGCTTTCCCAGGCATTTACCAGGGAGCTAGATTGAAGCAGAGCACCCTGTATTTGAACGAGTACCCATACACTGTTGAGAAGAATGTATTTTGAAGCCATTAAATTGAACAGTCTGTAGATGCATGTCACAGTCAACTGGTCTAGGCTATAATTTAATTCTGCTGTTTCTTCTTAATTTTCTATATGGGTTACCTATCCCTTTCTATTCACATGGTGTTCAACTCTCCTATTATTGTACTGAATTGTACTGTCCCTTTAGACTTATTAATGTTACTTTGCATATTTTGGCATACATATTTGTAATTTTATTCGGCCTCTGTTACTTTTTGTATGAAGACAAGCAGATAAATAAATAAAAATATCTTAACATTTTCACTCCATTTCCCCTTAAATTTGATTTTTTACTTTAAACATTTATTTATTTTTATTGGAAAAGAAAATTGGACAACAAACGGCTCCTATATGGGATCCTGGTGCATGGTGTCTCAAGCTTTTATAGAACAAGTGTGCGAGGCTGTTGTGTGGGTATGGGAACAAGAAAGTGAAAAGTATAGATGTGAATTCTTAATGGTCACCCTTGAGCTATCACAATTTCTGAAACTTTCCTTATCTCTTTTAGTATTCTAATCTCTACCCAAAGGCTATGTGGATCTGTGTCTATGAATTCAGAGAAGGCTCATTTGATTTTTTATGTGACTTTGTGTAGGCCTGTTTTTTGCCTCACTACCATCTGAAGCTAAATTCGTCTATTAGAGTATTTAATCATTCTTTCATCTTTTCTTTAAGCTTGTGAAATTTCTTAAAAGCAGCTATTTTTAATTCTCCTTCTGAAAGTTTGTGGATACCAGTTCAGATACCAGTTGGTCTACGGCTGGTATCTTGTGTTTATTTTGCCTATTTGGTAAGCTAATTGTTTTCTAAAAATTCTTGATAATTTTTGCACATGATGTCATCTAAGAGTATTGATTTCAGATTTAATAGTCTGCTTCTCTGGTGCCTATCCTTACAGGAATTCATAGCACTTTGCTTACTTTCTTTGGCTATGGATTTTTTTTTAAGCACTGTAAGACACCTTATATTTGTGTTTTCTGTAAATATGCTGTGGGTATGTTACTCTTTCAGAACCAGTAGCCATCCCAATCTCAGGTTTGTCCCAAATTCTCAAATAATGAGTTGGAGGAGTGTCTGAAAGGGTGATGTGGGTTCAGTGTTTTCATACCATGGATTAAGCCAACACCTGTGATGCCAGCAACCCAAATGCATGCTGGTTCAACTCCTGGATGGTCCACTTTCACTTGATCTTAACCAAAAGGCCGAGAAGCGATGGATGGTCCACTTTTGTGTCATCCTTGCGCAGGGGCCATGCTAATCTTCTCTGTATCATTCCAATTTTAGTATATGTGCTGCCAGAGCGAGCATGGATGGTCCACTTTCAATTCGGACGAGATCGGGCGCGTTCAGGGTGGTATGGCCTTAGACCACTTTCAATTCAGCTCCTTACCAATGTATCTGAGAAAGCAGTGGAAGTTGGCCCAAATGCTTGGACCCCTGTCATTTATGTAGAAATCACAGATCGAGTTCCAGGATCCTGGCTTCATCCTAAGGCAGCCTAAACTATTGCAATCATTTGGAGAGAGAAAGAACACACTGAAGACTCTGTTTCCCTGCTGAGAGTGTTAATGTGAGCAATTGCTTATTTCCACTTTTTCTTCAGTGCAGCTATACTTTTTATCCTACAAACCTAGGCATTATAGTTTCTCACCTGCTTTTCCTAGCTCTTGTTAGTTTGGTGCTTGAAAAACTGTCCAAATTGGTCAGTAAATATCTTCTGTGCTTCCCAAAAGCAATAGTTGCAGAAAACATAATCATGGCAAACTAAAGGGAATACTCCTGTCTTTGATTTAAAGGATCAAGTTCACCTATGAGCTAAGTAATACCCAACTAGTAGTACTTCTGAAGACTGAGAATTTTGTTTGGCATTACAACTAAAAAAAAACCCAAATTCCAGACATTTCTCATAATTCCAGCGGAATGCAGAGAACACCAAAGGTGGAATTAATCCAAGATACACAAACAATAAATAATTAATCCATAGAAAAGATTTCAAATGATATTTTACTAAATACAGAAATGATTGAGTAAAATGTCTGGTATATGTATATATATATACACACACATTATGTCTGTTGCTGTCATAGACCTAATTTCCATTAAATCCCAAAGCATTACAAAGTTAAAAAAAAATCTTTGGATGGGCAAATGAATATTCCTTTCCTGTTTGGGAAGAAAAAAGAAGGCCTTTTATGTCATGTGTTATTATAATCAGACGTTGAAAGGGATTTTGGGACATGACTGAAATCAAGACAGTCACCAACCACATTACTTTATTTTTCAACAAATCTCAAATTACTTAAAAGGGTCAGATCCTGGACCAGTGATGTAGCATGGCAGGTAAAGCCACCAAATGCTTGGACTCCAGGCAACCATGAAGGACACCTGCAGGAAGCTCTCAGTGTTGGCCCGCCCCAGCCCTTGCTGTGTGGCCTTCTAGGGAGTAAACTAATGGATGGAAGATTGATCTCTCTCTGTCCCTTCCTCAGTTTCTGTCACTCTGTCTCTCAAGTAAATATTTATTTAAAATTAAGAGGTAAACAATTTTAGAACAATTTAAAAGGAATGATTCCTATTTATTGATAGTAGTGATCAAAGAATAAATTACAGTGATATATGATAGAGACATAAACGTTTATTAGGTTGTGCAACACATCACAGAAATGAGGTGATCTACCTAAGGTCTCACTGATGTCAAGTTGTGCAGTAAGGATTTGTGATTCAGATTATAGGTTTGTTTCCTCTTCTCCTTGAAAAACCATTCTACATCCCACTTACTACATTATTTCCCAAGAAGCCCATATGAGATGTAGATTCCTGAGTCAGCAACTCCAAATGTATAATTTCGTGTGCTCATTGCTGTGATGTTAATTTGTGAGGCCTAATCCCAGAATCTGAAGTCATGGTTCAAGTTGATTTTCCTAGTTGCTGAACTGATTCTAGACATGAAGTTCAAGGAAAGATAATAACAGCCTTTCTGCACTCAGTCTCTATGTTGGCTTCATATTTTACTATCTTATTCAATCCCAAGATTCTATATATCATTGAAAAATATAGCTAAAAGCATGATATCCCAATATTTATTCTTTTAATCTTTTATCGATATTAGTCCCTACTCTTTATTCTGTTTGTTTTGAGTGGCACACTTTTCAAAATTTATACAACAGGTTTAAATGAAGAGGAAAATTCATGACTGTCTATTACAACAAGGAAATATCAGAAGAGAGTTGTGTATGTGTGTACTGGAAAGCTTAGGAATGCCAAATATGTTATTCAGTGTAGAGTTATAGTGTCCAAAGTCATTAGAAATCAGCAGCTTATATACTGAGCCAAATAAACTCTGGACTCAACAGCTGAGATCAAGGCCATTTAGTGATAAGAGCAGCCTTGAACAGCATCCATCAAGGTCTTTCTTTATGCATTACACTAATATCAGACTGCACTTTCACACAGTTTTTGGCATTGGTGTATTTTACTAATGTTTATAAATGAGATAGTTCCATATGATAAGGCGTATAATCAAAAAATGTTTAAAAACAGTAATGACACAGAGTTTTATGCTTTTTAAAGATTTATTTATTTTTATTGCAACAGAAGATTTATAAAGAGAGAAGGAGAGACAGAAAGCTCTTTCATCTGCTGATTCACTCACTAAGTAGCTGCAATGGCTAGAGAAGAGCCAATCAGAAGTCAGGAGCCAGGAGCTTCTGGGTCTCCCATATGGGTACAGGGTCCCAAAGCTTTGGGCCACTCTCCACCTCTTCCCTGGGCCATAGCAGGGAGCTGGATGGGAAGTGGAGCATCTGGGATACCAACCAGTGCTCATATGGGATCTAATGTGTGCAAGGTAAGAATATAGTCACTGAGCCATGGTGCCAGCCCAAGTTTTATGTTTTTAAATGTTTATTTGCCTAAAGGCATACCAACACATACACACAGAGAAAGGGATGAAAACAGGGATGGATAAAGGAAGAGTGAGAGAGAGAGAAAGAGAAATACCTTCCATGTGCTGGTTCAGTCCCCAAATGCCCACAAAAGTAGAGCTGAACTTGTTGGAGGCAAGAGCTGCTTTTGTGTCTCCCATTTGGGTGACAGGGACCTAAACATGTGGACCATCACCTGGTACCATTCCTAGAGCACCAAGCACGATTGCTAGTTGAGGAGGTGGTAATCAAAGGAACCAACACTACCAAATGGGATGCTGGTGTCTCATGCGGCAGCTTTACTCACTACACCACAGTGTCTGCCTCTAGTCATGCTTTTATTAACAGATTCAGAATCACTATGTAATTTTTGAGGAAAACTCAAATCCTAGAGCTTCAATGAAAAGTAAACTGTTGAATGAACGTCTATTCCACAGTTTCTTTCTTTCTTAATTTCTCTTTCTGTTTTTCTTCCTTCCTTCCTTCCTTCCTTCCTTCCTTCCTTCCTTCCTTCCTTCCTTCCTTCCTTTCTTTCTTTCTTTCTTTCTTTCTTTCTTTCTTTCTTTCTTTCTTTCTTTCTTTCTTTCTTTCCTTCTTTCCTTCTTTCTTTCCTTCTTTCTTTCTTCCTTTCCTTCTTTTATGTATGTATGTATGTATTTTCTGCTGAGGACCAGTTGGTTTGGTTCAGAGGCTAAGTTTACTGCTGAAGGCAGAAGTTAAGGAGTTGCCTCTATTTAACAGACAGAATCTGGAGTTTCAGGAACAATCTAATCTCTACACAGAGCCTATGGAGTGGGTCAGAGGGCATAGGATTGAGAGTGTAGCTAGGTGGGGATACCTGGAAGGTCAATTGACAACAAGAATGTTGAATATGCTAAAGCAGTTGTTGATATTGATGTAATATTTCTTCCTTCCTCCCCATATTTTCTTTTACTACCCTTAGCTGCTGGTAAAGACACAGCCTTGCATGAATGGTTCATATTTTTTAGATTTAAGTTTTTGCAAGGATAAAATGGGTAGAAAACCACAGAAATTTCTAATTTTTTATACTGATGCTGATGTACTATGAGTAGAATTGCCTGTGAACAGCAGTGGGATGATCATCCATAATCAACAATGCTCAAAAAAAACTAAGTTTGGTGGGAATGTGAAAGAATGTTGGGAAGAGCTTTTGACATCCACAGGGCATGAAATGGAAGGTAGAACCAATTTCACTGAAAAATTAGGAAGAAGGGAAACTACAGCTCCAGCATTCAATAATATGTTTTGAGAATGTTTAATTTTGTCACTCTTGGAAGATATAGTTAACCTTTACTTCATATGACACAGAAAGACAGTGGAACTCTGAGCAGCTTTTTGAGAATCACCATGAAATGAGTGGCAGAATTGCCTCTGGTTCCAGGGAAATGTTTCTTCCACAAACTTACATGGAATTAAGGTGCACATTTACATCTGCTGGAGGTGGGGAAGACCTCTGGTGTCTCATGACCAAAAATGCTCGACTTGCGTATTGATACTGATCTGTATATTCACATCCCTAAAGGGAAATTTAGGATATAGCGTTTATCATTTTACTTTTTCCTTTAACAATGGTTCTTTATCAGAGTCAGTTTTCCTTGGGTGAATCTTAGCAAGAAAATGGAATGTTGTGGTTTTTTATTTACTTATTTTTACTTTTTGATTTTTTAAATTTATTATTATTTTTTTTAAAGTCAGATATACAAAGAGGAAAAGAGAGAGGAAGATCTTCCGTTCAATGATTCATTCCCCAAGTGGCCACAACGACTGGAGCTGAGCCGATCTGAAGCCAGGAGCTTCTTGCCTGTCTCCCATGTGGGTGCAGGATCCCAAGGCTTTGGGCCATCCTTTACTGCTTTCCCAGGCCTCAAGCAGGGAGGTGGAAGGGAAGTGGAGCCACAGGGATTAGAACTGGCACTTATATGAGATCCCGACACATGCAAGGTGAGGACTTTAACCACTAGGCTACTGCATTGATCCCTATTTGCTTTTTTTTTTTAATTGGTAGAATAAGGAATTAGCATATAGAAATAATGGGAATCATTTATTCTTGATAAACGAGGGTGAGGGGACTGGAATAATAAATACAGTAAAAACAAAAAGTCAAATTACTAGCAAATTAGGAAAGCAAGTTTGATGTTGATATAAATGAGACTGGATTTTAATCTCAGTTAAAAGCAACTGTGAGGGCCCATTGTATTGGCTCAGTGACTAAATCCTCACCTTGTTAAGCAGCAGGATCCCATATGGGATCTGGTTCATATCCCAGCTGCTGCACTTCCCAACCTGTTCCCTGCTTGTGGCCCGGGGAAGAGGTGGAGAGTGGCCCAAAGCCTTGGGACCCTGCGCCCATATGGGAGACCCAGA